CACACCTGGCTAATTTTTTGATTTATTGTAGAGATGAGGTCCTGCCAAGTTGCCCAGGTGGGTCTCGAAACTGCGGGCTCAGGCAATCCACTCACCTCAGCCTCCCAAGGTGCGGGATTACAGGCTGAGCCATCAAGCCCGGCTTAATTTTTTAATTTATTGTAGAGACCAGGTCTAACTCTGTTGCCCAGGCTGTTCTCAAATTCCTAGGCTCAGGCAATCCTCTCACCTCAGCCTCCCAGAGTGCTGGGATCATAGGTGTGAGTCACCTCACCCGCCACACTTCAGACTTACGACCCACAGAGCAGCAGGATGGAGGCCCCTACGCCCTCCCCCACATCCCCCCGGGACTCACACCATGTCTGGTCCTTAGGTCTCAGGGCTAAAGGGAGAAGGAAGCACAGGCCCTTGGCCAGGGCACCTCACTGGGCCCAACTGCACCCAGAAGGGAAGACAGGCCATGCGTTCGTGGGTGGGTGAGACGGGAGGCAGGACAGATGGTAGGGACTGAGGCAGACGAGGCTATCCCTAAGGAGCGACCTCAGAGTCTCCCAGGAAGCTCCCTCCAGGGCCCTGGCGACCTGGACCCTCATCTGAACCCCCGGCTATGACCCTTGGCCTCAGACCCAGAGCCCTGGACACCTGGCCTCGGGTCCACAGCCCTGGACCCCCAGCCTGGGACCACTGGCCTTGGACTCCTGGCCCCCACCTGTGGCGCAGACGCAGGCAGGTCCGCCCGGGCTCAACTGCAGAACAGACCCACATCTCTTCCGCCCCAAGGTAATCAATGTGGCTTGGGGTGGACAGCTCCACACGGAAAGGCATCAGGGATGGGGACACCAATGTGTCACTGCTGGCCAGGGATGTGGGTGGGCTCACCATGGCCACGGCAGGTGCCCTCCACCAGGAGCAGCTCCAGACCCGCCTCCCAGGCCCATGGATCCCAGGTCCCTGAAAGAATGGCCTCAGGCGCATGGGGAGCCGCTCTGGACAGAGGACGCAGGGAACAGGATACAGGAGCGAAGCCACAGCGGGGCTGGCACTCTAGGCTTGCACGTGGACACGTGCACGGCCGGCACGCACACAGGCACAGCGCCACAAGCACACAGATGCACACGGGCCACACACACAGGCATGCAAGGCCCCAGGTCCAGCAGGCACCTGGGCAGCGTGTGGACTTACAGGTTTCCCCATTCTCTACGTGGGAGAGAAAAACAAGAACACATTACTTCAGGCGTGAACACGGTGCTCGCTCCGCATGAGCACGCCCGCGAGCGCACCTGCCTCTCCCTCTCCCCCGCCCCTCCTGAGAACCAGAGACACGGCTCTGCCGGCCCTAGACCCGAGACGGGCCAACCCAGGTGCTCAGCGCAAGGCCTGGGGGAGGCCAAGTGGGGCAGTCCAGGTCCCTGAACCACTGCGGGGTCGAAGCCAGGAGTTCTGTCCGGGGACACCCTGACTTCCCAAGCAGGAGCCAGCTCCACCCCCATCGCTGCCATGGGAACCCACCACATGGCAGGACGGCCACCCAGCCTTCACTGACCCCACTGTCAGCCAGGCACTGAACGGAGAACACGGCCCTGGCAGGTCTGATATCTGCAGGTTGCCCTGAAGCTCTCTGGCACGAAGGAAGAGCCTGGCCTCACTGTGGGTCCAGTAGCCTGGCTCTGTCCCCAGGCTACACATGAGTGCACATGGACACATAGATACTCACGGCTTCAGGCTGAAGAGGTCCTTGAATCCCGCTGTGCCCACGTCCCTGTTCTTGTGCTTTTCTGCGATCAGCTTCTCCCGTGTCCATGTCATCTGCACCTTGTCTGGTGTGGGCAGGGCCTGGGTCCGGGCAGCCACCGCGGTGTGGGATGCGGTGTTCCTGTCGTGGATGAGCTGGGCCTGGCAGGGAGCAGCCGTGGACTCAGGATGGCCAGCAGGTCTCCAAACCCCCAAGTGAGAAGGCCGACCGTGAAAGCTGGGAGTGAGGCCACCAGCCCCAGAACCAGAACCAGGAGGGCCATGCACTGGGTGACCGGGACCTGGCTGGACCCACAGAGGCTGCCTCCTCCTCCTCCTGGGTGTCCAGACGAAACCCCTCTTCCTCTCCCATCTTCTCCCACTTCTGAAAGCCACCAAGGAGAAGGACCCACGACCCCCTGCTGATGTGTGGATATGCATACCAGGAGGATCCTTCACCTGATGGCCACATGTGCTGCCCGTGATCCCTCACTCACCTACCCGACCAGCATAGGCACCCCAGGGTGTTCCCCATGGCACTGTCCCCATCTCAGGGAGGCTTGGGACATGATAGGACAGCGCCAGCATCCTGTCCTGTTCCCCAGGGAAGCAGGCTGGGCTGACCAGGCCCACTGCACAGCAGCTTCGCTCCTGGTTAGAATTCTGATCTGGCGCCTGCACACACAACTGTGTCTGACAGTCACGCTGACAGGCGAGGCCCTGCCCCCTACACGGTCCCTGGCCTCGACATCCCTGATGCTCCCAGGACGATGAAAAGTCTCCAGGGCATCATCACGTCCTGCAGTCAAGGGCCGAGGGAGTGGAGACGATGCTGTCAGCTGCTCAAACCATGCAGTCCGTGGTGTGGCGGCCAGACCCTCGACATGGGCCTCCTCCACCCCAGACCCCCTCCACAGTCCGCCTATGGCTGCTGTCCTGGGCCAGCCTGAAGGGTAGCACTGGACGGGAACCCCAAGACGTGGCATCAACTTGGAAATGATTATGTGCGTGCTCACATCACCACGGCCTGCGCCCAGTACACCCATCTCCAGGGATTGTCAGTTCACCATGGCGGGAAGTCGCCCCCAGCTGATGCTGATGCAGAACAGACTGTGCCAGAGCAGACACAGCAGCGCCACGGCCCTGCAGCCAGTGCCTGACTGCAAGATGGCCTCGGTGGAGCGGCATGCAACAGTGTCTCTGGTCACCGAGTGTCTCGCTGTGCCCATTGGAGAGCTGTGACCACCTCTCGGGTCCAGCTCCCGGCAAGTCTGTGAGGGGCACCACACGTGCATGCATGGCATTGCCGGGGCAGACCCGTGTCACACTCTGGCTCTCCTCCCACAAAAGCACAAAGCCTCGGCAATTGCAACTAACTACTTCCTCATTACTGGATTTCCGGGAGTTTTGAGAAAACAGTTTATTTTAAACCAGAGCTGCCTAGGTGTCTAGGTGAATACTAAAGGCGGGCAGAAAGGAGGGTCTGTGGGCAGAGCTCCATCGACAGGAGCAAGGGCTTGACCCACACCTGGTGTCAGGCCCTTGGGGACTCATCGGAGAGTACGGTTATTGGGGTGGTAGGAAGGGGGACTGAGACCCCATCGCAGACACGGCTCTGTCGGATGGGGCTGAGCACACAGACCCCACAGTGAGTGCCACCTGGCCCCACAGCTCTCATGGGGCAGCAGGGCCTGGGCGTCCAGGCCGACGGGAGCCCTGTGCAATCCTTCCTCCTGCCCAGCCCTGTGGTGAGGTTCTGCATCTGGGCACTGGCCACAGGAGAACTCCCGAGCCAGGCCTGCATCACACACCAGGGGCCATGCCCAGCCCGTCACACAGGCCAAGATGCCGTGAGGTCACCTTCAGGCCAAGGGCATCGCCGGCACCGCAGGTCCTCGGAATCACATGCATGGGGACACACGTCCCCACGCAAGGCTCAAGGCTCTCTCTTGCTGTCTCAGAGAAGCCACCAGTGCAGAATCCAATGGCGCCTCCTGACTCGTGAAGACCTTCCGGCAGAGGCCAGGAACCTCGACAGCCCCAAGGACAGTATGTGCGACCTGCAGTATGTGAGGCTGAGAAGGTCCAACCCACAGTGCACGTGCCTACGGGTGTGCCTGGCCACACACACTCACAAGTGCCAGCGTGGAGGGGCCCAACCTCAGCTTCCTCAGGGGAGTACACGAAGTCCACGCCAGCCACAGCAAACCCATGGCTGGCCCAATGTTCCCACAGTCCTGAACATGGAAGCCAGGGCCCGAGGGCTGCCTGCATATACAGGCTCAGCCCACCCACCTGTAGTCAGGGCTCTCGCTCCTCCAGGACACAGTGCACAGCATGAGGGGTACCCACTCAGCATGGGCAGCCAAGCTCCAGCCCAGACAGCAGCCTCTGCCACAGGTGCACCCCCTCCCTTTCAGACCGGTCCTCCCTGACTCAGCTCACAGTGTCTCCTCGGTCAGGGCTTAGTAATTCCTCAGCCAGCTCCCCTTAACCCTCAGCGGGGATTCTTTCTCCTAGGCAGCCCTAAACAGAATCTGTAGGGAAATTGGTGTGTCTGGGGGCCCTAATGGCCCAGAAAGAAACAGGGCCCTGGGTTTTCCTGACATTCCTGGGGTCCGGCTGCCCCAGGTTCCCATGGAAGAGGATCTTTGTCCACAGATGCTGGGTCGGGGGGGTCTCCTGCATCTGGGCCCACCAGACTCACTCATGGTCAGGAGTGGTTAGGGCCACGATTCCACATGCCTACCTTTGTGGCATGTCACTGCTTAGTGACTCTGGCCACTGGCCCATGTGGCCACATGTCAACCCATGCACTGCTATTTCTTGTGGACAGCAAGCCCTAGGGTACGGGCATCCTGTGTCCCCACCCTCCACTATCACCATTCTCACAGAAAATTATCCCCCTGACCCATAAACGCAGACCTACATGTGCGACTCCACACAGGACCCACAAAGGCCCACTAAGCTGTGACCCCACCTAGGCAGGAGTCCACTGCCCAGCCATGCCTTCCTTGGGTGCGAAGTGGCAGCAACACCATCCCCAAGGCCACACCACGGCCCAGGGGCACAGGCCGGCATCACAGAGCTGGACACGTCCGAGCCTCTGCCCTGCACCACGGGCACAGTCGTCCAAGGGACCAAAGCCACCGCAGTGGGACTGCCCGTTGCTCCTGCCACGCAGCCTCCGAGACACTCCACGTGTGCCTGCGTGTCAGTGGGAGGCAGAGGTGCCTCCCCTCCCCGGCTCCCTCCCTCTCCCTCAGGAGCACAACGACCTCTGTCCCTCCCCTCATCCTTGGACGTCCCTCCGCTCATCCTTGGACGTGACAGAATCTGTGCACTGCGGGGCTGGCGTCTCAGGGAGCCCTGGGGTGGGGGCTCAGGGACCTTGGGCTGTGACACAAAGCGGCAAGTATACAACGCTACAACCCTCCCTCCCTCCAGAAAAAGTCATGGCCCCGGCGCAGTACCCAGGTACAGCCTCTGGAGGTCCCTGAGCAGGATGAACTGTGGGCTGTCTCCTGCCTGAGTCGTGGAGTTTTTAGATAGAGGCCCTGACTCTTCTGCACGGTGAATGACATCAGCAGGACTGGAAACTGCACCTGTTGCCTGCACCCATGCGCTCCCTGACCCCCACAATGGGTTCTGCTCTGACGGAACCCTGTGCACGGCTGACGCTCTTCTACACACGTGCCAAGCTGCCACCTGCTTACAGGCTGAGATGTGGGACTCCAACAGCCCCTCCCCCAGCCATACTCCTTGGGGAGGTGGTGACGCCCAGCCTCACCCTGGGCCCAGCCCCCGGTCTCGGCCCACACACCTCTCTCTCACGCTCACTCTTGGACAGCTGCATCTGCCTCAGCATCTGTGATCTCTGCTCCATCATCAGTGTCTTCTCGTAGGTGAATGCAGAAATGTCATTTTCCACCTAGAAAATTCCAGGGCAAGACACAGGCATGAAAGGCACACATCAGTAAATGTCACTGCTGCACCTGGAATCTGAGCAGAGCCTGAACCGCGTGAGAGGCTCGTGTGTCCTCGGCCCCGGACCTCCCTCTGGTTTGGAGCCCTCAGCCCAAGTGACCCTGGGCAGGTATGTGAGCGTGTGAGTGGGAGTGTGGGTGTTGTGAGCATGAGTGTGAATGTGTAGGTGAGTGTGAATGAGTGTGAACAAGTGTGAACGAGCTGAAGTGTAGATGAGTGAGCATAGCTGTGAGCATGTGTTGTGAACATGAGTGTAAGGTGTGTGAGCTAAGGGTGGGTGTTGAGTGTGAGTGTGAGCACAAGTGTGGCTGTGAGTGAGCATAAGCGTGAACACATGTTGAGTGCTACTGCATGCATGCTTCCTTCCTAGGCCCGGGCCTCTTGGCAGGCCTTGCTTTCTGGTGGGGCCTATTCACGCAGTCTGTGCCATGCCACATGTTTCAAAGTTATTTTGTAGACTGGAAATAACAATATTCGTACAACTGGCTTTTTTTTTCCCTGAGTTGGAGTCTCACTCTGTCGCCCAGGCTGGAGTGCGGTGACACCCTCATGGCCACCGCAGTCTCAATCTGCTGGACTCAGGCGATCCTTCCGCCTCAGCCTTCTAAGTAGCTGAAGTTATGCACTACTACACCTGGCTACTTTTTTGATTTATTGTAGAGATGAGGTCTCGCCAAGTTGCCCAGGCTGGTCTCAAACCTGTCGGCTCAAGCAGTCCTCTCGCCTCAGCCTCCCAAAGTGCTGGGTGGCCTCCCACCACACGTGGCCTTAATCCCAGCACTTTGGAAGGCTGAGGCAGGATTGCTTGAGGCCAGTTTGCAACCAGCCTGGGCAACACAGTGAGACTCTATCTCTACAAAAAAATAAAAAATTATCTGGGCATGGTGGTGAACATTCATGCTACTCAAGAGGCTGAGGTGGGAGAATCCCTTGAGCCCAGGAGACGGAGGCTGCAGTGAATTATGATTGTATCACTGCACTCCAACCTGGGAAACAGAGCGAGACCCTTTCTCTTTAAAAACAGAAATCTTTTAAAAGTAACAAAGACCAGCCGGGTTCAGTGACTCAGCCTGTAATCCCACACCTTTGGGAGGCTGAGGTGAGTGGATTGCCTGAGCCCGCGGGTTTGAGACCCACCTGGGCAGGCGAGACCTCATCTCTACAATAAACCAAAAAATTAGCCGGGCGTGGTAGCGTGCGCCTGTAATTCTGGCTACTCGGAAGGCTGAGGCGGAAGGATCACCGGAGCCCAGCAGGTCGAGGCTGCGGTGGCTGGGAGCGGCCACTGCACTCCAGTCTGGGCGACAGAGGGAGACTCCAACTCAAAAAAAATAAAAATAAAAATAACAAAGACCCCCAAAGGGTGAGTGAATAGTGAAGACCCCATAAGCAAAAACTACAAGGAGTAACCATCACTGGTCCAAGGGGCCAAAGTTTAGGGTACCCAGGAAGAGACCAGACACCAACCCCAGGGCACAAAACGGCAAAAGACCTGGCAAGGCACAAGGGTGCACTTCTCACTGTCAAAAGCCCCAGAGCCAGACAGCTTGCAGCTCCGCCAGGCCCACAGGGATGGTCATGAGGACACACGAGTGTCTCAAGCTACGGAGACACCCAGACTCAACCGTGAGTCAGAAACAGAATGAGACACCCTTCCAAACTGCACGGTAAGTGCCCCCACATCCCCAGGAACCCCCCACCCCAAAGGTCCCACCAACATTCCTGAGGACCCCCACCCTGTGTACCCCTTCATCTCTAAGAGCCTCCATTTCCAAGTGCCCCTCGCCCCAAATCTCTGAAGACCCCATCCCTAGGTACTCCATTATCCCTGAGGTCCCCCTCCCCAGTGACCCTCACCCTCAGGTATCCCGTCAACCCCGAGCACCCCCATCCCTGAGTGCCCCCATCCCTGAATGCAGGGGTATGGGCACCTGTCCAGGGACCGTCTGATTGCCCCCCTTCACCATGTCTTCCCAGAAACCCCACCTGCAGAAGCCTGTGTCACCCACAGGCCTGCACAGTCCCATGAGGCGGGTGTGAGGACGCTGAGAAATGTCCTCACCACCCCACCAGGAGGGACGCCATCAGGGCGGGCTCAGGAGCATCCACACGGAGGGAAGCCACAAGCAGACCCACGAAGGCCCAGGCGGGGGAGCAGTGGGCGCGCCCGACCCCTCCCTCACGCACAGGCAGCCAACCGGATAACAACCACGTGAGCTCGGCCAGAAGCCAGAGGCCACGGAGACCACGCCTCCCGCCCGCTCGGCCGCCTCCAGCCGCCACGCACCATCTCCACCACCTCCACCTCGGCGCTGAGACGCAGGTGGTACAGGAACACCTGCAAGTCCTTCTTCATCTGGATGCTGTTGTCGTCCTCCTGCGCCACAGTGAAG